CCCACAGGGGAGGGCCTAGGCCAGGACCTACATGATGTGGTGGACTTTGGGGGGCCCCCATCGAGGGCCCTACCCAGTCTGGGGTGTGGAGGGTGTATGGGGTGGGGCAGGTGGGCGGTTGGGGGGGAGGGGAAGGCAAAGGAGAAGGGATGGATACACAAAGCAAGCTTGTTCCTAATTTGAACTAATAAAAAAGTTACAAAAAAGATTCTGACCTATGAAGAAGCAAACTCATAAAGACTTATATCAGACTAGAGGTTCCTTAAGGTTTGTGGAGGGGTGATTGGAGGTGGGGCGGGGGAGACTAAGGGCTGCAGCATTTCTTTCTGAGCTGTTGAATTCTAAAATATTTCTAGAGGCAGTAGAGATGGCTCAGTGGTACAGAGCACTCCACCTCCTCCAGGGGATCCAGTCTGATGGACAGAAGCCATTTCAGGTGGCTCATAGCCAACTGCCAATCCAGATTCCCAGGATCCCACACCCTGGCCTCTGTGTGCATCTGCACTCATGTACTCCTTCTGCACCCGTGCTTAATTAAACATGATTGGGTGATGCTTGTAAGACTCCAGAAACATGCTACTGACCACTACATTGTCACCTCCTTTTATTTATTAGGGACGAGCTCTTTGCACAGCAACCAGGCTGGCTTCGAACTTGTAGCAATCTTCCTGCTTCAGCCTCTTGAGTGCTGGGATCTTAGTCTTGCCACCACACCTGCAAAGTTGTTTGCTGTAAACGGATGATTTGTATACTATGTGCATATGTCTCAATAAAGGTAGTGTTAAAAAATAGTGATCCATCAATTATGGAGTGTGAACTTCCATTATATTCTGATTTCTAAGAAGAGAGCAAAGTGTTGTCACGACATTTAAATAAGTATTGGCCGAAATATCAGCACACTAGAGTATTGTTGATTTTTACATTATACACTGGTGTGTGCTTGTGTCTGTCCATTTTTATGGATACACAAGTGCCAAAGCACGATGTGGATGTCAACGGGTACGTTTGAGAAGTCAGTACTGATGAGAGTCATCAGGGTGCATTTACTCTCTAAGGTGCTAAGCCATTCTTTTGACTCTATTTTTGACTTTAATATAGGGACCATGATTGTGTTGGAAAATTATACTCATTTGTTGAAATAACAGACTTGGTTGTTTGTCTTACTTGACTATATTTATTTTATATGTGTTAAGTGAGTGTGTGTGTGTGTGTGTGTGTGTGTGTGTGTGTGTGTGTGTGTGTGTGATCTTACATGTGGTATCAGAGGACATCCATGCAGAGTTAGTTTTTTTCTTCTACCTTTATGTTTGTTCTGGGATCACACACAGGTTATCAGCCTTGTGTCTCAAGGGAATTTACCTGAAAACCTCCTTTGCTTCCCTCGGGATCTCTTTTTAAATGGTAGAAAAAGGCACAGTGGCTTGGAATGATTGCTTATAAATTTACAAAGACATGGGTATTCATTGTTTTCTCTTGTTGGTCATGTGTTTGTTCAAAAACTCCATGATAAATTCTTCTGAATTTCCTGAAGAAGCAGCAAAGAGCAACAAGGACACTGTTAGATGGGTATGACAACACAGTACAAAACATTTAGGTTCCATGATGGGGTTATAGCGTATGAAAGATGTGTTTAGAGTATTTCATTTTAATCAGTGTGCTATTAGCCTCTTGTACTTACCTGGGTTCTCTCAACAAAACAGTGCTATGAGTACAGCTGCTCCTGGGCTTGCAAATCCCTCAGGTGACAATCAGACATAGCGTCACCCTTCCCGTAGTCGGCAGATAATACCTAGAGTTGTGACCTTGGATGCAGAGAGGCTAGAAATCCTCAGGAGAAAGGGATAAAACTTTTAATGGTTCTGGGATGTAGTGGCCACCCCCCACCCACCTCATGATCCATATTCTTCCCTTAGACTCCCCGCCTAGTTTTCCCAGTGCGGTCTTAGCCTCAGGTCCTTGTTTAAGGGTAGTTCCTAGATAAAAGCCCCCTTCACTGCAAGCCACCGCCCCATATGGGGGCTGTCCTGTCACTGGCTGTCTGGTCTCCAGCAGACATGTGGCTGTGTCCCTTCATTCCTCTTCTCTTAGGCTGTCTGTGTGAGTCTGCCCTTTCTCAACCAAGAGCCTGGCTGTTGCCAAGGCAGAGGCCTCACTTTGACCGTCCTGGAGATGTTATGGTGGGTGGCAGCTTCTCCGTCTTTCGATTCTCTAATAGTGCCCCGCCTGACTTCGCTGTCCCACCGGCTCCACTGCTGCCTTCAGAGTAAGTGCTGGATGTGGGGTAGGTGTCCAAAATCCCAGAGGAGCTTTACAAGGTTGCGGGAAGCCTCGGGCAAGGGTTGATTCTCAGAATCCCAGCTAGATGGCCATCACCTTTGTGTGAACATGCTGTGTCTCTCTTGCTGTCCTTCCCCATCACCTCTGTCCGTCTGTCTGTCTTGTCTGTAGCAAACTGAAATATAGGCTGCTCATGTACTGGCTGCAATGTATGTGCTCCACAGGTCAAGTGGGTATTCCTGATTCTTTTTTGTGTCCTTGGTTCTTAAAATAGCGTATAGATAAACCAAAAAACCCCCCAAAAAACAAAAAAATCCAGGCGCTGGTGGCACATGCCTTTAATCCCAGCACTCGGGAGGCAGAGGTAGGGGGATCTCTGTCAGTTTGAGGCCAGCCTGGTCTACAGAGCAAGTGCCAGGATAGGCTCCAAAGCTACACAGAGAAACCGTGTCTCGAAAAACCAAAAAAAAAAAATCTGAAATAGATGTTAGTTACTAAAAAGTGTAAGCAACCAATCTATGGAATATTTCTTTTTCTGTTTCCCTGAGAAAGGGTCTCTCTATCTAGTTCTGGCTGCCTGGGACTGGCTATGTAGACCATGCTGGTCTCCAACTCATGAAGATCTACCTGCCTTTGCTTCCTGAGTGTTAAACAAGAGTGCCACTACACCTTCCTTATTCAATGTATCTTCAGTTATTTCTCCTGTCTTTCGAAAGTGTCTCATTTGATTACTGTCTCCATATTTTCTCTGTGCCCCCTTGGGGTATTCTGAACTTCACTCCTGTGCACGGTGTGTACCAGCATTTGTGGAGACCATGTTTCTCCTCGTGTCCCTTGAGTCACTGTTTTCATTCTTGTTCCATTTACCCCATCATGAGTATTAATGTGGGCTTGTCTCTCCCTCAGAGTTTCCCAGTGGGGCTACCGGGTGGCCCAGAGTTTCGTCTTTGCCATCGAGGAGATTAATAGGAGCGCTCACTTGCTGCCCAATCTGACCCTGGGCTTCTCCATTCGAAACTCTGGAGATTCAGTGCATGGAGCCGTCTATGAGACTCTGAGTTTTCTCACGAGGCAGGAGGAGCCCGTCCCCAACTACACCTGCCAGCATGGCTCTCCTCACCCTGCCCCCGGC